AAAAAAAAAAAAAAAAAAAAAAAAAAAAAAAAAAAAAAAAAAGATTATACATGCCAATTCAGGTCCTATTACAGAAGAATGTTTACAACATTTCACATAAATGCATATGTATGAGGGTATTTTTTAAAGTTCATGAAGAAATAGAATTAAAATATAATACAGTCTTTCCAGAAACTTTTTTTGTGTGTGTGTGTGTGTGTGACCAGTAAGGGATTCGTAACCCTTGGCTTGGTGTCACCCGCACTGTGCTCAGCCAGTGAGCTCACCGGCCATCCCTACATAGGATCCGAACCTGTGGCCTCGGCACTCCCAGCGCCACACTCTCCCGAGTGAGCTACAGGGTCGGCCCTTTCCAGAAACTTCTTTTTTTTTTTTTTTTAAAAGATGACCGGTAAGGGGATCTTAACCCTTGACTTGGTGTTGTCAGCACCAGGCTCAGCCAGTGCGCCAACCAGCCATCCCTATATGGGATCCGAACCCGCGGCCTTAGTGTTATCAGCACCGCACTCTCCCGAGTGAGCCACGGGCCGGCCCCAGAAACTTCTTAAAGTACCCTTATATATTCAACTATCCTGAAAGGGAAAATTTCCCAAAATTGGTACTAGAACTGTAGATGAAGCCCTTCCTGCCTCCATTCCTTCCCCCATCATTTTCTCCTTCCTTTCTTCTTTCCTTTATGTTGATTTTACATTATTTCATATTATTAATTCATATTATTTTATACATAAAACAAATATATGTTTTATATATTTATATTTTTGTATCGATAAGCCAGATTTGTTCATAGTAAGCTGCAAGTTCTTTTGCTGATTGTAATGTTGTTATATTAATCAAAACAGAACCTGAAAGTTATAATATCTGGTCATATTTCTCCATTGGTGGGTTTGACCTAACACATCATTTTATAATTTCCATTGTGTTCAAAGGCATTTCACTGAAAGCAGCAGCTGTGTCAGTCAAGAAAGAATCAGAAGATCCTAGTTACTATCAGTGTAATATGCAAGGTAACACTGTTTTATAATAATTTTCTTCTCCAAAAGTTATTTGTAATAGAAAATTTTTATTACAACCCTCCTGAAAAACAGGGTAGAAGTCATAAAGTTCCATGTACATTTACCCAGGATCTAGCATACTGCCATGTAGGTAAATGATCTGACAGTTATAAAATAGATTCTATTTAGTCTAAATCCATATGCTCTTAGGCATATGTGAATGTAAAGGTATCTTAGGGTTCGTTTTGCGTGAGTTTGTTTATTAAATATTCTTATTTTTTGTGTTCTAAAGCATTTCTCCCTTCATCCTCTCCTGCCTAGCCTGTCCCCTCTGCTATGGAGAAAATATTAAAGAATAAAAGATACGGAGATGAGCGTTAAGAAATTCAAATGCACATCCTTAATTATAGTTGCTTTATAGACATCAGACAAGTTAAATGGGGAGCAAAAGACAATTAATACCAAACACACGCACTTTTTCTTTTTTTTTTTTTTTTTGTCTTTTGTCTTTTTCCGTGTCCGGCAACGGATCGCAACCCTCAGTGTTGCCCCCGTACCGGACCAGGGACCGGCAACGGGACTGCAACCCTCGGCGTTGCTCCCGCACCTCGCTCAGCCAGTGAGCAGGAACCGGTCTGCATGCGGGATCCGAACCCTCGGGCGGGAGCGCCGCCGCGCTTCCCAAGCGGCGCACTTATCCAGTGCGCCACCGGGCCGGCCCCCGCACGCACTTTTTAAACATGGCACAGGTAGATGGTCTGTGCAGTTATATGGCTGGGTTCTTTGCCCAAAGACGCAAAGTCCTACTGAACCCCAGTGTGTTATTAATTGACTATTGTATGGCACGCCGATCCTTTCTCTTTTAGCTCCACTGTGAATGTAGGCAGAGTGCAGAAAAATTTGCAATTTAATTGCTCAAACATTATTATCAAATTTGAAACATTTGCTACAAAATCTTAACTTTGAAATTTTCTGGCAGCATTAAATAGTTCAATAAGTTTTAGTAAAGAACATTTTCATAAAAGCTAAAGGCAGAGGACTGGCCAGTTAGCTTGGTTGGTTAGAGTGCGTGGTTATAACACCAAGGTCAAGGGTTCAGATCCCTGTACCAGCTGCCCTCCCCCCCAAAAAAATCTAAAGGCAGAAACCAGTGAATGCATCTATTATAATTGCTGTGTCCTGGGCCAGTCTCTACCCCACTTTTACCCACGCATCCTGGCCTGTTGCAGTCCCTTGTGACCAGTCTCCCTCCCTCCAGGCAGAGGTTTCCTTTCAATCTACCTACACACACACCACCACCCATCAGAGTTATTATCTGCAAACTGGGATCTGTTCAGGTCTCCACCCCTCCCCTGCTCACATGTTGTCTGTGGCTCCTCATCACCTGTAGAGAGAGTCCCATTTACTGCAGCATTCCTACGTCTCCTTCCAGTCTCCCTTCCTCTTCCACCTGCCTCTTCCACCACAATCACTCTCCCTTGATTCTTTAGACACACTGGTCAGTCTGTGATTTCTTAAACATGCCCCAAATCCTCCTTCCACTGGGCTTTTATATAACCAGATGCCTCTGTTAATCCCTTTTTACTCTGCAGACTTCTAAAGAGATTCCACTCCTCTGTGTGGGCACAGCCAGCATCTCGATTCCTGCAGGGAGCCTTCTCAGATCCCTACTATAGCACAGAGCACTTAGTGCAGCCTTCTCTCTGCTATTTAAGCTCTTACTGAGAACTCCCTCAACTAGTGGTGGGCTCCTGGGGTAAAGCTGCAGCATTTCGCTCCAGCCCTGGAGTCCAAGCCCAGAGCTTTGTACACACTGAGCACTTACTTCTGCTGGTTGAATTCATAGTGTCACTCACAGAGAAACATGTAACCTCCATTTCTAAACTACCATTGTTTTGAAAAAGTACTTATAATTAAATTACATCTTGACTCCCAAGAATATAATTTTGAACTTAAGCGACCTTGGTGATGATCAAAATAAGTAGGATTCTTGTAGAGTTTGCGCTCAAAGGCAGCAATGAAGCAAATAAATGATTAGGTGGATGTATCTGTATTCATTCTATTTTAATTTTTCAGAGAGAATTATATTACTTTTAAGAAAAACATGTAGGTTCAGTGTATAATTTATCATCTTTCTCCTGCTTGGCTTGGAAATAACTATTATGAATTCCTTGTAGAACTCCTTAAGTTGGGCAGTGTCTTTCTTGATGCTAAAAGTGTTCAAATTGTCTGACATCATGGACTATTTAATAACACTGAATGTTTTTGTAACCATCTAGGTTAAATACTCATATACTGAAGTCTAGGTTAAATACTCATATACTGAAGTATTGATGTCTTCATGTACTCTTTAAGTAAGGGGAAATTTTTAAATCCATAAATGTAGCACATGTGAAGTGCTCAGAATGGCATCTGGCCCTTGGAGGCACAGTGCTCAGAAGTTCATGCAAGTCTGTGTGATGCCTAGGGCTGGCCCGTGGCTCACTTGGGAGAGTGTGGTGCTGATAACACCAAGGCCACAGGT